AAAGGATGGAAAAAGAGGAAGGGAGGCTGCTGACTTTGGTGCCTCTGTGCCCAGGAGAAACACACATCCAAGGTTTTGGGAATCAGGTTTTCCATCTCTTCTGTATGGAGGGGATCACAAAACACAGGCTCTTTAATCCTGTCTTTCTTCTGCTTTTCTCTTCTTTCTTGTACTTTCCAAGCTGAACTGGAAAACAGTGAGAAGATTATAGGGCTGAGTGATCCCTCTGTGGATTTAGATCTGTGCATCCCTGCCTTGATCCTTACCACTTTGGGAAAAGGTGGTACCCTGTCTGTCTCCCGAGGGAGTGGTCCCGATGGGGCGGAGTCATTGTCAAGCTCTCCTATCCTCCTCTCCTAGCGCCTCACACCGTGTCTGACACACAGTAGGTTTTCAGGAAATGCTTGTGATGTGGTGGGATTAACTCCTGGGGTCCCGATGCTCTGTCAGTCCCCTTCCTGTTTTGGTGGAGAAGTTACTGCCAAGTTCCCCTTGAGATGGCGCCTCAAGGCCGAGAGGCAGAAAATCCCTTTCCCTCACGTCAGCTAAGGCCAGGGCAGAGCTTTTCAGAAGGGCACTTTCCTTGTAAATCGAGCGCAAGTGGGGCACACACAGAGTATAGACATCGACGGCGGATCCCACACGACGCAGCGGCTGACTGCTCTCAGCTGGGCCAGCGAGCTCTGACCTCACCTTACCCCGCGCTCTCTGTGTTAAGATCTCGGGGTACCGCCCCGGGGTGGGTTTGCACTGGCAGACTCTCAGGCCTTGTGGGTTTCTGTTCCCCGAGGTCAGTCTGCTTCCTGATACTGTGCTCTTGATGTGGGAATGCATTCCCACAATTCCTTCCCGGCCTCGAGCCATCCGCTGGCAACCTTGGTGGTGGCGATCGTTAATTAGAAACCATCGTTTTTAGGGTGTTGAGCAGGACATGTCCACCATATACTCCCAGATTTTAAATATCTAAGGAATCTCCCTTCCCTGTACTCCAGAAACCCAGTTCCTACTTCCCTGCCAAAGATCACTTTTATTGTAGTCGTTTATTGGCTTTTCTTCCAGAGTTCCTTTATACATACAGAAGGAATACTTACGGAAAAGCAGCTGGGGATACTTACTTGACACTTTATATGAGGCCCACAAACTGGGGTCTGATGAGGTGATTTGGTGTCTACAGCACTGCATCTCCCAACTTCAAGGAAGAAAGTTTGCTCAAATATTTTGTTGCCCGACTTAATTTCTAGTAACAGCTTCAACCTTCTTTTTTTTTTATTAATATATTTATTTTAATTGGAGGCTCATTACTTTACAGTACTGTGGTGATTTTTGCCATACATTGACATGAATCAGCCACGGGTGTACATGTGTCCCCCATCCTGAACCCCCCTCCCACCCCCATCCCCTTCAACCTTCTGTAACCTCCTCTGTCCATGGGGATTCTCCAGGCAAGAATACTGAAGTGGGTTGCATGCCCTCCTCCAAGGGATCTTCCTGACCCGGGGATTGAACCCATGTCTCCTGTGACTCCTGTACTACAGAAAGATTCTTTACCACTGAACCACCTGGGAAGCCCCAGCAAAGTGTTTTGTTGCCCAACTTAATTTCCAGTAACAGCTTCAACCTTCTGTAGCCTTCTTTTAGGGGAGATACAGGGGAGAAGACACAACCCAGTGCATTTACAGATAATTTTGAAAATGCATGTGTGTTTTGTGTGTTTAAAAATTAAGGTACTGTGTGTGTGTGTGTGTGCATGCGCTAAGTCGCTTCATTCGTGTCCAGCTGTGTGACCCCATGGGCTGTAATGTGCCAGGCTCCTCTGTTCATGGGATTCTCCCGGCAAGAATACTGCAGTGGGTTACCGTCCCCTCCTCCAGGGGATCTTTCCATCTCAGTGATCAAACCCGTGTCTCTTATGTCTCCTGCATTGGCAGGCAGGTTCTTTTACCACTAGCGCCACCTGGGAAGCCCCAAAGTACCGTATATTTTAGTTCAAAGGGCCACTTGGACACCAAATCATATAGCTATGACAGAACAGCAAGTTAGACCAGATTTGACAAATGAATTTGTTGATATTGTGTAAATAAAAAACTATATATATATTTCTCTTTTCTTTTCACATATTATACATACTGTTCTGCAACTTACTTTTTTAAAAAACTTAATGTAATGTGGGCATCTTCATATCATTACTAAGAACACTTATTTCCTTTTGTGTTTTTTTTATGGTTACTTAGAACTTCATTGTATGAGTGAACCAAATTTTTATGAGCACTTTATTGGTGCAATTTATGTTAATCCCTATATTTCATTGCAGCAAAAATCTTGTACATATATGCATTGACCTTGTCTAACCAGTAACGTGTGCAGACAGAAATAAGACAGGATTTTGTAAGGGACAGATAGCTTGCTGATTTACCCACCAAGGCCAGTAGAATGTTGATTTAAATGATCAGGTAAGGTCTATTCTGTTCTGGTAACTCTGTAATAAAAATACCTAATGGAGAGGGTTTTGAACTTGGGATTTGATAAAAGGACAATTGCATGGTTCTCTTACAAGATCTGGTTATAGTCCATTACGTTTAATGTATGTAAAGCAGATTTCCACACCTGGGTCTGGCCCCGCTTCAGTAAAGAACTGAGGACCACCCTTATCAGTGTGATGGGAGCACCTCTTTCTATTATGCTTCTCTGTTTATATCCATCAGCATCTTGCTGCTCTGGGGTGGCTGCTGCTAGCTTCTGAGTCCTTTTGCTAGGCCTTTGTCTTGGCAGTTGGAACAAGTTCACTCTATAGCCTCTGTGCCTTTATGAGCTGGTTTCTATCTTGAGCTTTGTCTTCCTGTAATGGTCTGCAGAACTCTGACGTTGGCCATGGCTTGATGGAGCCTTGGCTGTAACCTCAGGGTGCCATACCATTCCTGTCACTGGCAGGGGAGGAGACCTTGAGGTCCTCAGTTGGGTAGCATCACGATGCTCCCAGGGTACCACTCTGAAAATCCTTGAGCGATAATCACCTGCTTAATCACGTCCAGTCCCAGCTAACAATGATTACGCCCCTGCCATGCTCCAGGAGGTTTCCATAGTTCTTGACTTTGAAGGCCTACTCCTACTGCTGAACTCTCTTTTTTGCTTTTATCTGAAGCATCTTCATGAGCACAGCGTTCTCCCAGTGTGGCTTCCTTGGGACACCAATTCCATAGCACACAATTTAGCCTCAGAACCGTGTTGACCCCTCCACATTGTGGGCCCTGAAGATAGACTTGAGCAGCTCTGTTAGTAGTAACTGACTGTGAGGCCTTGTTTCCCCCACATTTTGATGAAGCTTGGCTCCCACACCTGTGTTTTTGAGACTTCCCGGTGGCCGTGAAGACTTTGTTGGGAGCCAGCAGCCAGAAGCAACTTCCCTGTCTCTTCCTGTCCCAGGGCCACTCCCTGGGACCACCTGCTTGATTTCCATGTCCGGTCTGAGAGGGGCCTCTAGCCTCGAAGACCAGCTGGTACCCACCTGCTCTTGGCCTGGTGACTGACGAAGACTTCCCTGTCTTGGTCAAACCTACCCATATGTCAGTGAACCTTAGGTTCTCTGGGTGGGGTGTCCTTCTGATCTCTTGGATCAGAAAATGCAGTTCTCTTGGACCTCAAAATGCAGTGTCCACCATAGACACATCTTCAGTCCTGGGAAAAAGAAGGTATTTTCCTTGCTCATTGTGGGTTTTCAGCATTCCAGGGTTCTTCCTGGTACAAAAGTTTAGGTCATGGATGGTTCTTCTTCTTGGGGCCCAATCTTGTTGTGTCTATCTTTTGCACCTTGTGACATCTTGCTGTAACAACTTTCTGTTTATCCGACACATGGGAACGCGTTGTTTTGAGGAGTTAAAACCCAGTTGGTGTGGTCAGAAGTTTGAATGTTTGCTCCTTAGTAACCGTGGCTGATGGGATGCGATGGATGTTCTGAAGGTTTTCTTCTCTAGGGAACTCACTGGATTCTTGGCTTCAGCTTCCTTACCTTGTTTGGATTAAATTAAAGGAAGAACAGTAGGGATGTTTGCATGATTTGTCACAGGGAGAAGGAGGTCTGGTGCCAATACTCCCATTTTTCAATATCTTTCTTTCTTTCTTTTTTAGCTCTTAAGGCTCTTTGAACTTATCTTGGGAGTGTATTGATTAACCCGCTGGCTCCCTGCAAAGATGTAAGCTCCTCGAGAACAGAAACCTCACCTGTTTTTGTTCTCTTCTGTACGACTGGTGCTGGAACAGTGACTGGCACATAAACGGCAGCTGAATGAATGAAAGTTGGGGCTGGATAAATAAAATAGACCCGTTCTCCCCTAGAGGACTGTTTGGCCACTCGGGGATGGGCAGTTAGACCACCGAAACCATGGTACCTGAATATATTCTCCCATGAATTTTTGAGGCAAGACAGGGCAGAGTTATGCAAGAATGTTGAATTTGCAGGAAAAGCTTGAATGTTAACTCTGCCACTGACTTATTTGGGAGACCTCTCTGTGCCTCAATTTCTTTATCTGGACATGAGGGATAATAATTGCTCCCCCCACACACATATTTTCCAATACTTGGATGAAGAATGTATGAAAAATGTAAAATGCATTTTAAACCAGAAAGTCTGCAAACATAGGGGCATTAATTACACAGTTGTGGTATTCCTCTTCCTTAGCTTTTGCTGCATGTGAAGCAAGGTGCCCTGGCCTGCCTCCACCTCTCTTAGAAATAAGATACCCTGTGGCTGCCCTCTGGAGATGCTTTACCCATAAACTGAATGAAGGAGCAGAAGTCCCTCTAGGATTCCCGTCCCCCAACCCCCATCCTTTAATAACCTTGGTGGGGGTAGGGCAGTCCTAGGGCCTAGGAAAGCACACTCCCTTCCCAGGCCTGGCCTCAGCACCTGTGTCTCTGGCAAGCGCGCCAATTCACCGTGCATCCAAGAGCTGGACTGCAGGAGCTGTGGCATCAAGGACTGCTTGACAGTGTTTCTCTCTCTCCAGGCGGCTGCTGAAGAGTGAACTTGGATCATTCATTACAGACTATTTCCAGGTAAGTTCTGTGCATCTGAGCATGGGTTATTCTTTGCATGTGGGTACATGGACCGTAAGGGATGACCGATATGGTACACAGGACACCATGCCTTCAACATCCACAGTTATGCATCTCGAGTTCCTACTATGTGCTGGGACTGCAATGCAGCACCTGTGGAGGCATACAGGGCAAGGGTCCTTGCTCTTTTGGAGATTATAGTCTCAGGCAGCAGTTGTTAGGGTTTTTGCTCTCAGGAACCCCTTTATGTTCTTAAAAATGATCATTTATTTGGATTAACTGTATCTTCACCATAATAGAAATTAGAGATGAGAAACTTTACTGTGTGCCTTCATTCATTCAATAAACCTACTTATTCATTCAATAAACCTACTAATGTTAGCATTAATGACATTTTTATGAACAATAACTTTTTCAAACTAAACGTAGAAGTGTGGCATTGTCCTACAGGCCTGCATATTTGCCCGCAGGCTGGGTCCTCGAATCGGCTTCATCATCAGTCTGTTGTGATAATGCGTGTCTGGAAAATATTGCACATAGTCTCTGGAAAATTCCACAGTACGCTCACGGAGGATGCAAGGCAAATAACAGCTTAGTGTTGTTAAGAAAATCATTTTGACCATGTGGAAGAGGTCTGGGTGATCCCCCAGGGGACGCTGACCCACACTTGGAGAACTGCTCCACTATTGCCATTCCCTGCCAGCCCGTGGATGGTACCTAACTGAGTGTAATGATATGTCCCTTAGCCGAGTTCTTTCTTGTCACTAAGCCTCTCAGTCTGTTCTGTTAAAGGTAGAATTCAATCAGACAAGCTAACATTCCTCCTGCCTAGACACTGTTGTCATGCAGCTAGTGAATTCAAGACTCCAGGTGCAGTCACAGGATGGTTTCTAACCCACTGGCACGAGCTGGCTTCCTGACCCCAGCCAAAGGCACGTGGTGGGAGGGCGTGGAGAGGTGTCATGTAACTGAGTGGGTGACTTCCACGAAGTCGGAGCTGAGTGTCTGGGGCAAGCTGCTTCACCTCTCTGTGCCTCAGTTTCCCCATCTGTAAAATGGAATTAAAACCAAAAAAAGATCTACCTTATAGGTCACTGCCTAGTCCACATGAAATAATGCATGCAAAGCACACAGCACACAGTGTGCGGGGGCTGGGGCAGGGGGCAGCAGAGAGGAATGCTTGGAGCCAGACTGCCTGGGTTCAGCGCCCAGCACAGCCACTTTCTAGCTATGTGGCCTTGGAAAGTCATTTTACCTCTCTTATTTTAGTGTCTTGTTCTGTAAAAACAGGGGTCATAGAATGTAACCTTATAGGGCTGTTGTGAGGACTAAGGTAATTATTATTTGTTAAGTGTTCGAACAGTAATTAATACAGAGTAAGACAGAATAATGTGTTCATTAAATATCTATATACTGTTGACCTTTGAACAACATGGGTTTGAATTGCAAAGGTCCGCGTGTACACAGGTTTGGTTTATTTTTTAATAGTAAATAGTATTGTACTGTAGGATCCGTGGTTGGTTGACTCTATGAATATCAAAGATCTTGGTAAGCAGAAGACTGACTATAAATTATATGCAGATTTTCAAGTACGTGGAGGGTTGGCCCCCCAAAGCCCCCCACGTTGTTCAAGGATCAGCTGTATACATATTCTTTATTCTAAAGTGTAATTCATCCATTTTAATGGGAAAGTGACATAAAAATCCATAACAAATTGGTTTCAGGTTGGTGATGTTATTTTGTATCCCAGGTGAGCATACTTTTAAGACAGTATAAATAGTCTGTAGGTTTTAAAAACAACACAGGCGTCCTTTCATTTTCTTTGAATAGATCAGGAAGCTTAAACTTTTATGTGCACTTTGAAAGAATGATAAATGTCAGTTGTTACACACACCCACACACACACCAGAAAGTGGCCACTTGGCCATTCTAAGTCTGGACAAAGCAAGACCCAACAGAAGCTGGGAATTCAGTCAGGTCAAAAACCTCAGCAGCTTGAAAGACAACCCCTGTCCAGGGAGAGAGACAAACAAAGATTAAAGAAGAGATAATTAGTCACGAATGTGAATCATTTCAGTTGCCCTTGACTCAGAGGTCAGTCTTGTCCACAGGCTCTTCTCTTGCTGTCTGTAGTTGACTGAGTTTTAAATCCCACTACAGAAGTGGTTTTTCAGTCCCTCCTGGAGAAACCTGCTGGCCCAGCTGCCTTCCTCATTGACATTTAAAATAGACAAGGTTCCCTGTGTGGTTTCAACCAGGTTTGAAGTGTCAGTCATTGCTTGCTTTGGGGGCTCCCCCTCAGATGGGTGGGGGGGGGCTTTTGGGTGGGGGTTTGTTTATCTGGGAAGCGCTGAGGTTTCGGGGGCAGTTAGTACTGCTTACAAAGTGCGCCAGACACTTAACAGCTGGTAACCACATGTCATGTTTTATCTAGAGCTTAATCAGAGAGACTGCTTGGTGACTATTGAGTCTCCTTCTGGGGTTTTTTTATGATGTCAAATCTGGGTTTTTTCCTTAGTTTAAGGTGCTAGATTGGAACAAAGGCTATCCTAGACACTGTTTGTTAAAATGTAGGTTTTAGGTCTCGTGCGGGCCCAGAGCCATTTTTTAAATTTGTTTGATTCTCTAGTCCCTAGAAATTACCTAGCACATAGTAGATGCCCAATAAACTTTCCTGGGCTAGAGGAAGGCGTTGTCCTTCCTCTTGTGTCTGTGGGTACACAAGAGATTTGAGGAGGTGTATGCTGTGGTATTGAGCAACTTTTCCTTCATGGTGTTTCCTTATTTTCCTTTGGCACTTCTGATCCTGCCAGGGAAAGTCTTGGTTTACGCCCTTGTGTCTGTTATGCTTCTGCAAGACTTGATGATCTCTCTTGTTTAAGGAAGAGAGAGCAGGTTTCAGACTTAGTGTCTTCAGCCAGAGCACTGTCTAATTATAATTAGGGTTATATAACATCATTTAGTTTGCATTGAGTAGATCCTGAGTTACATTCTGATTATGGTAAATGGTGTTGCTATGGTTTCTTTTCTGAACATATTTATATTTTGAAAAAGTGGATTGAGAGGAACTTCCCTCAATTCGCTGGTGGTCCAGCGGTCAAGACTTCGCTTTCCAATGCAGGAGGTGTGGGCTTCTGGTCAGGGAGCTAAGATCCTACCTGCCTTGGGGCCAAAAACCAATAAAACAGAAGCAATATGGTAACACATTCAATACAGACTTTTAAAATGGCCCACATTTTTTAAAAAAAACTTTAAAAATAAAGAACAAAAAATGGATTGATTGAAGAAAAATAGTATACAGGAATAACAGTGTAAGTGGCCCTGGTTGTGGCCAAGTGGTGACGGTGGTTTAAGAGAGACTCAGGTTTGGAAAGTCCTTCGCCAGGCACCCTTGGTAATGGGCTGGTTTCAAAGCCACGCCGAGAAGAGTTCTTCAGATGAAGAGGGAAATCCAGGAGGGAAGGCGGATAGAGGCAACCTCAGCCTTCACACTCAGTTATCAGCTGTAGTTTTAAGAGGGACAGTCAAGATGGGCTCCAGAAAGAGCATTCATCCAGCAAGAAGGAGGGGGCAAGGTTTGGGGACAAGTGAGGAATGAAATCCGGGGGTGGACTGTTGCAACCTACATGCCATGGACATGGCTGTTGGGTAAGGTGATGAGCGGGCTCCTCTGTGTTGGAGGATCAGATGACCACCCTCCCAGACATCTGTGCTCAGCAGTGAGGTCTGTCTCCTGGTACCCAGAACCCCCAACCCAGAGATCACTGTTTGTAAAAGCCATCACTGGGGCTCTGCTTTTGAAAGTGAACATTCTCATTTTGCAGCTTTAAAAAAAGATGGTCTTGAGGGAAGAATAATGAAAATGACCCCAGGTGAGGGCAGGGGGAAAGCAGGTGGAAAAATGGTGCTTATCTTATGCTTGCACACAGAGAAGTCAGCTGGTTTGATTGGCAAAAGCACAGATAGATTTCCGGAAGACACCGGCCAGAAAAAATCTTTGACATTTGCAATATTGATTTTCTTTTTCCCTCAGTCTGTTTTGAATTGCGCCCAGAAGGAAAATTGGGGTTTCCGACAAGAACTCTATATCCTAGAGACAGCCCTGGGGAGGTAATTGGTTTCTTTTAACTCTGGAAATGGATGATAGGAAATGCTCTGCATTTTTCTCTTAACTGATTAGGTACCTTGGTGGTTCAGGACGTGGGGATGGGAAGAGTGGCAGATAGCACTTTCTGTGTTTCTTCGTCTGTGTTGTGTCTGTTGGAAGCTTTTCCTCAAGCCCAGAAAGTTAAATTGTTTTTGGTGAAACCAGAGTTTTGCTTGATACAGAAACTCAGTGTGTAGTCAGTGACTTTCAACAAGATTTGTTGTTTTTATTTAGTCACTCAGTCGTGTCTGACTCTTCTGCGACCCTACGGATTGTAGCCCACCAGGCTCCTCTGCCCATGGGATTTTTTCCCAGCAAGAATAATGGAGTAGGTTGCCATTTCCTTCTCCAGGGGATCTTCCCAACCCAGGGACTGAACCCACGTCTCTTGCATCTTCTGAATTGGCAGGCAGATTCTTTTCCACTGAGCCACCTGGGAAGCCCTTGAACAAGATACTACCTAGCAAAAGGGGAAATTTGGCAACCACACTTGTCAATAGGTCACAGATGGCCTAGTAGTGTGTGATATGAGTGTTTCCATCTTCTGCTCATATCCGTGAGTCCCAGGAGGCCAGTTTCCCATTAACTCACCATTATCAGAGAGGATTCATCAAAGGCATGTGGCACGTGGCAGGAAGCTGAAGGAGAGACCCATAGGAACATTCTGGTCACCATGGAGAATGAAACTGAAGTGCAGGGCTGTAGATACATCCATCCAGGTAATACAGAACATTATGTTAGCTGAAGCCCTGAGTGGAAGGTAAAGGCTTAAAAACAGGCCCAGAATAAATACATTGTTTAGGTACAAAGATAGGGCTTGTAAGAATCCAGGAAGATTAGGGTGGAGAAACAA